CCAGTCCCAGCTTTACCACCAGCCAGTTTCATGTGAATGTATATATTCACTGCACAGATATTCACTAATTTTTTTTTTTGTAATATGCCAAGCCCTAGGAAAACATGAGTCACAATTTCTGCCCTCACAGAGCTTCTGTTCAGGGAGAAAAGAGACCCTAACAGATCAGCCATACTCAGGGTGATGGTTAGTGTCATGGAGCTTTGGACATGGAGCTGAGGGAAGGAGAGTTTCACAGGGAAGGTTTTTCTGGGGCTGACACTTGGAGGACAGTAGATGAGATGGGATTATCTTTCTTTTTTTATTGAAGTATAGCTGATTTACAGTGTTGTGTTGGTTTCTGGTATACAGCAAAGTGATTCAGATAGGTATATTCTTTTTCAGATTCTTTTCCATTATAGTTTATTACAGGATATTGAGTATAGTTCCCTGTGCGATAAAGTAGGACCTTACTGTTTATCTATTTTATGTATAGTAATTAGTATCTGCTAATCCCAAACTCCTAATTTATCCCTTTCCTTTCCCCTTTGGTAAGCATACGTTTGTTTTGTATGTCTATGAGTCTTTCTATTTTGTAAATAAGTTCATTTGTATCATTTTTTTTTAGATTACACATATAAGTGATATATTTGTCTTCCTCTTTCTGACTTACTTCATTTAGTGTAATAATCTCTGGGTCCATCCACGTTGCTGCAAATGGCATTATTTTATTCTTTTTATGGCTGAGTAATATTCCATTATATATATATGTGTATATATATATCCATTATACACACACACCCACACACACACCCACACACACACCCACCACATTTTCTTTATTCATCTGTTGATGGGCATTGGGTTGTTTCCATGTCTTGGCTGTTATAAATAGTGCTGCTGTGAACATTGGGGTGCAGGTATCTTTCCGAATTAGAGTTTTCTCTGGGTCTATGCCCAGGAACGAGATTGCTGGGTCATATGGTAACTCTATTTTTAGTTTTTTAAGGAATCTCTACATTGTTTTCCATAGTGGCTGCACCAATTTACATTCGAGGTGGAATTTTCTAAGGCAAACCACCGAACTCACTGAGTCTGATTCTTTGTTAAAATGAGAGGCTGAACTGATTTATCCCTATAGCCTTAAACTTGTATCTGTCTGTGACCTTTCGTTAGCACCTAATCTCCATTACTTTGGCCCCTTCTGACAACCAGAAACAAATTGTCCTTCCCTTTCTGTTTAAATGCGTGTGTTACCTTTTGAACTGCCCATTAAATGGGTTTCCTGTTTGAGGTATTCCTTTGGTTTTTGAGCTCGTAGAGAGGATTGACAGACACAGAACTCCATGAGTAATCAGATCTTGCCTGTGTTGCCACTGTAGTTTCACTAGTTGGGCACTTTTTTCCAGGAAAGGATCTTTTCTCAAGGTTTTATTATATCAAAATTACTTTTTAAATACAGTAAAAGTAGGCAATCTCCATCAAGGAAAGAAGTAAGTCTTCCTTAACATTAAGTGAGGATTGGGTCAGAAATCAGGATAAAAGGAAGAAGGAAGGATTTGGAAATTAAAAGACACTACAAAGAAAAGAGGAAAAACAGATAATAATAGAAAGGGAGAAAACACCTTTTATTCAGTAGTGTTCTCTGTGTAAAATTATTGCCTGCGTCTCCTTGGAATTCTCGCTGTTGGGTTCTTGCTCTGCCTTCATGATTAACATACTATAGCTATAACCTCTTCTCATGCTGTCCATTACTGTGTAACAATTTGCCCCAAACTTTGGCAGTTTAAAACAATAAATATTGTCTAAAAAAATGTTGCCTTCACACTTTTAAACTGTAGAATTAATATAGCTTTCATTTGGAATTCTAGTTCAAGATATCAAAAAAATACTAGGTGGCAAATGTATGTTGGTATATTCCTCCCCCACCCCCTTCCCTCCATTTTCAGGATCCCAGTTTGCACTAAGATCTGCTGTCAGTAACTGCCTCCATGATGAATCCCAGGCAGTTTTCTATCCCCCAGTGCTCCAGTCCTGATGTCTGGGCTTCCTGGGAGGACTCTGGCAGACGCTGTCCCCCGAAGACAGTGCTGGTGGCCCTCATGAGTAACAGGTGATGGCTTGCACCTTTAAATCCCTGAAGCAAAGTAAGCTCATTAGCAGCACATTTCAGTGCATTGACTCTGGGCAAAGAAAGCCACCTCCTAAAGGCTGGGCAGAAGTTTCTCTGGCTCTTCTTTTTCTTTTAGAGAGAAAAGTAAAAAATAATACACTTGTTGAACTACATGTGTATAATCACTCAACACCTGGAAAACTCCCATCTTTTGGATTCTTTTAGAGTTACACTTCATAAACTGACATTTTCTTTCTTCTCCTTCTTTTTTCTTTTTATTGGGGAGTGTCTGATTTTTGGAAATGCTCCTCATCAGGTTGTATTCTCTTTAACACGGGAAGCTGCTTGTGAAAGCATGTCATTGGATGTGTTTGTCACGCTTGTGACATGTAGGTAGCTATAATTTCTTCTGATATTTAAAACATAGGAAGTACAAGAGTCACATTTTTAATTGGTGTTATTGGTTCCACCTGAAGAACCCTAGGATCTTCAGAGATTAAGCTACGTGATTCTTGCAGTGAACTGACCTCAGGCAAGCCAGTGATGTTTTTGAGTTCATAAACCGCAGAATAACTCCTCATAAAGTTTGTTCAGAAATGTTAGCTATTAGGAGAGCATAAACTTATGGATGTTTGTGGCGGGGGGAATGGGCTTAAAATTACTGTCAGAGTCCTTTGGTCTGTGCTTGAAGATGCAGGGGTAGCTTATTGTAGTTTGTATTTTCCTGATTTCTTGTTAGTGAAGCCCTTAGAAATGCTGTGCTTATGAAATTGCAGAAGATAAAGTAAAAGAGATCATGTGGTTCTGCAGGGGAGGGACTGCAGGTGCTGCGTTTCCTCCGCCTCACCTCAGTGGCCTTGTGATAACGTCTGTGGGTGCTTGGCTCTGGCTCAGGTGTTGATATCTTCAGTTAGGCCTCAGTTTGGCTTCTCAGTTGTGTTATAAAGTCTCCATCTTGGATAGACTTAGTTACCAAAGGAGGAAAACGAAAATGGCTTTCCCAGGTGTTCTAGGCAAACAGAAGATTTCAAAGGCTATCATAACATCACATAACAATATCACGTATTTAGTAAAGTTTTACATTGTAAAGAATTAGGAGCATGTAAAAGGCTTCTGTTTTCTCCAAACCATTTGGTACTGAAAAGAATACGTTTTAAAATCCTTTTTGTTACATTTATTTGTAACAAGTTGAGGGTATCTTAGACAATCAGGTAATAAAAACATTAAATCAGAAATAATGACTACTGCCTATAGCAGTGATGTTGCCTTAAAAAGGTTGAAAGTACTGATGGTTTGAATATGAAAGAACTGATCTTGAGAAAAGCCAGTTTTAGTTTGTGCTTTTGTTTTGTTTTTTTAAAGTTCTTTCTGTAATTTTCTTTTGGCTTTAAAAATTGCTGCTGTGATAGAAAGAGCATTGATCACACAAAGGCTTAACGTAAATGATCCTGAACCCACAAGAAGGAAAAAACCCTACACAGTTAATTTTGCACGTGCTCCTGGATGCTTCTTCTGTGAACTTAGTAGTTTGTAATTTTTCTAAAATATCATAAGTATATTTCCTGTAAGTATAATGTTTACAGATTTTTATACTGATTATCCTTTCTACTGATAAAACCTACTGATTTTAGCTTTCATTTTTTCAGATGAAAGCCAAAAAATTCTGATATGGTGCTTGTGTTGTCTGATTAACAAAGAGCCACAGAATTCTGGAGAATCACAACTTAACTCCTGGACACGGGTAAGAGTAAATCTTACTGCTTTGAGTTAAATTGGTTGTTTAAAGGTGCTGCTTTGACAGTCCAAAAACTTTTTCAAACACATCTTTTGCTGTTATATTACCTTGCTGGGTGTAAAGTTGTTCAAGAGATTTCATTTTTGTTCAGTTGTGAATTCCATAAGACATAGGTCCTTAGGGTGAGCTTTCCCCTGCCTACAAGAACTAATATTGAGTGGATTTAGAAAGTTACTTTCAGGTAATTAAACGAATGTACTCTCTTTCCTTCTAGCAATCGCTATCCTTTAAAAAATTATTTCTCCCTACCAATCTAGTTTAAATACTTATAATTCCTCTCCAAGTGCTTCTCTCCCTCTCTCAGAACCTGTGCTGAAAATTCAGAAGTGCCCTGGGAGCAGCAGTCTTTATTTTGTGTCCTGAAGTTTGTATCCTGGCCGGTGTGCTCAGACTAGCATCTGGTGCCCGTTGGCTCCTGTTGCAAACACCATCAGATCGGTTACCCCCCTGTGCTAGTCCAGATAGCTTTGGACTTCCTGAATTCTCCTGTCTGTGTCTGCTTCCTCTTGAAGGGCGGGCACACGTTGGAGACTGTTGTAGGGCTGGGTGGTGGCTGCCCTCACCACCAGCAAGTGGGCTCTTCTCCGACGCTCCATTGTCTTGCTGCAGTAACCCCAAGGACTCGCTGATGCTGGTCCAACTCCACTTAGTATGCACACAGTTCAGATCAGCTGCTTGGTGTTAGGAACTCACCCACCCAGATTCATGCGTGTGGTTTTTTCTATCACTCTGACTGGTGATATTCCATTCACTGCTTTTTACATTTCCTTTGTTTTATACAAAATTGCTGACGGAGATGACAAAGACAGTATTTGTATTTTTCTGTTTTAAAAGAAGAATTGAAGGGACCATAGAAGTGAAAAGGATTGAGGGAAGGAAAGAATGCAACATGTAATTGGAAGGACAGTTAATGTAAAGACTGGAGAAAGGAACTGATACATAGAATTAGGGAAGGAAAGGTATGAAAAACAAGGCTATAGAAATAGAATAACATATTTAGTTTTAAAGTTTTTAAATTGTTGCTTTTGTTGAGTTTTTGATATTTTAATGATTATTTAGGATTTTTTTTTTATTGGCTAGCTCATTAGATCCTGAAATAGGTCATCTAACAAAGTGTTTTTAGAGTAATTAGGTTAACTTTCTTCATTTAACTCATGACTATATTAGCGTAGTTTTCAGTTTCTAGCCTTGCAGTTTATATTGTGTGGATTTCTCTTTTTTTGATACATGTTCATATAATAGATAGGTACTGATTAAGTATAGCACAGAGAGGTAAAGCTAAACACTTAATTCCTACCTTCAGGGAATTTACAGACTGGTACCCAGGTCACTCTAGGGCAGTGTGATTGGGTTATTGGTTGAGCTGTGTACAGGGGTGATGGTGAACAGACAAGGGACACTTCTTCAGTCTTGGGGGTTTGGAGACATTTCCTAGGGGAGATGATATAGCACCTTTGAAGTTTTGAAGGATGACTAGGAGAGCAAGGATGGAGTTTTAGGAAGGATATTCCTGTCGGCAGAAAGCACGTGCAAAGAGTGGTGGTGAGGAAGCAAATGCTGTGTTCACGGAACTGCGGGTGCTTAGACCCGCTTGAGCTTGGGATGCTGTAGGACTGATGATGAAGTGTAAAGCCTTATGTATGATTATAAGAAGTTTTTATTTTATCTTGAAGGCTATGGAGAAACTACCGAAGTATTTTAATTAGAGAAGTCATATGGCCAGGTGTGAATTTTAGAAACTTAACAGCTAAAGGAAGTTGATCTAGAAGGGGGCAAGGGTAGCACTTTGGATACTGTTGTAGTGATAAAGGTGAGAAATCATGAAGGCCTGAATGAAGTGGAGAAGAGGGGTCAGATTTATGATATTAACATGGTAAATAGCCCAAAGATGTAACGACAGATTAAACACAGATGTAGTTAGGTGTAGGTGAATTTAAACATAGTGTTTTCAGGAAAGCGAGCTGGTTTGCACAGAGGTTGGTAGTCTCAGGGTATGGGAACAGTGGAGGCCGTGGGTGAGGGCGGATCACCCAGGGAAAGTTCCTAGTGAGAGGAGGGGAAAGGGCCTGGGGACAACCTTGGAAGACACTGGCACTTAAGGAGTGAGCGGAAGAAAAGCTACAGTGTGGACTAAAATGGAAGAGTCAAAGAAGGAGAAGGAAAAAGGCAGCAGTGTTTCAAGGAGGAATGAGTGGTCATTCATATCTAATGCTGTAGTGCAGCACTGTCCAATAGTAACAAAATCCATTCTGCATAGATAATTTTCGATTTTCCAGTAGCTGCTTTAAGAAATGTAAAAAGAAATAGGTGAAACAACTATTAATAATTTATTTAACCCAGTATATCCAAAATACTATTATTTCAATGTATAACAATGTAAAATTATTAATGAGATTACTTTATGATCTCTTTTTCATACTAAGTCATTGTGAACCTGTATATATGTTACGCTTAGTTCAGTTGCTAAATTGTCATCGGAACTGTTTGAGCTGTTTCATAAAATATACTGTTGAAAAGTAGGTTCACATACCCAAATTGTTTTAAAGAAACTTAAAAGTGAATCAAATGTCTGTTTTCAAATTTAAATTTAATTAAAATTTTAAAAACTAAAAATTAATTTTTCTTCACTGTGCCTACTACATTCGAAAATTCTCAGTACCCAGATGTGGCTAGTGGTCACTGTATTGGACAGGAAATCTGTAGAACATAAAGCAAGATAAGGACTGAAAAATTCTAGTTGGGTTTAGCCACTACGGAGGAGTGACCTTGATGAGAACAGGTTTAGTGGGAGGTGGGGAGAAGTAGCCAGTTTGCTATAAGCTAAGGAATGGTGATGAGGAAGCAGAGATGATAGACTTTGGTTACTCTTTGAAGAAACTTGGCAGTGAAGAAAGGAGAGAAAGTTGATTGAAACTGAGGAAGTTCTGAATTTGCTTTACTGTGAGAAGACAGTGCTTACTAACAGAGAGGACTTGAGGACTTAAGAGACTGGGGAAAGTTTCCCTCGTTGTACTAGGCAAGCCTGTAATACTAAGTGATTAGAAAGGAGATGTATAGAAATAATATTAATTATTTAACTTTTGGCTGTCTAAAGCTAAGTACACATACCTATCACAAGTTGGTACCTTCATAATCGTATAATATTGGCCATAAATGCAAGACAGAAGAAGGGTGTTGATTTATGAATGAGTCGTATATGCCTTGGGTATACTTTCTTTTATCTTGGAAGTGAAGTTTTAGAGTGACTTATTACACTTTAAGGATGTATAACTTGTCATCTGGCATCCTTCTGAAAATTATATAATGAGCCATATTTTAATAATACTTGTTAGTTTCGTTCAGTGAGCATTTATTTGGTGCCTGATATGTGCTAGGCTGTTGTAATTGTGGTAATAAAGTCTTGGGTCATTCTGTGCTCCTGGAGCATCACAAATGTGATTCAAACAGACTGAGTCAAAAACCAAGAATTTCTTCTGTAAATTCTAGAATTCAGTAAAAATCCATGTTAATTATTAAATTTGAAAATGTTAGGCTGAGTCAGTGAGTTGTATTTTTAGAACAGAAATGAAATAGGAATTCTGTTTGATGTTTGCCATATGTTAGCCTTTGTTAATATATGTTGGAAATACATTAAGTTTTTTTGGAGTTTTAGTGGTAGCCTCAAATATACCATCAAGTAACCTCAGTGGCTATTCTTACAGTTTAGAAACTGAAGTCACAGGACTCTTTCACATCTTTTTGGAATATTTGATTCTTGAAAAACTTAATTTTACCAGTGAATCCATGGAACAGATACTTTTTGAGCACCTGCTGTTTGCCAGACACTATGAAAAGTGCCAAGGATCCACAGCAGTGGATCTGAAGACAGTGTGCTCTCAGAGTGTTTAATCCAAAGGGAAGGTCTTCAGGCCTGCCAAATTTAGGGGCTGTCTGTCTTCTTTGGGCAGGACCATACCACTATTATTTTTTATTCTGATGAGAATAAAATGGCAGAATGCCAAGAGTAGAGATCAGTCAAAGGGGTTTTACTCAAGTGAATAAATTTTAAAATGTAGTACTAAGCAATATCCAGTGTTCTCTGGATTGCCTCCAATTCATTCTTTAAAAAAAAAACAACTTTTAAATTAGAAAAATCTAACAAACATATTGAAAAGTACATGAAGCATAAATGGCAAGCTAAACAAGTTGCTGCAAATAAGTACCCTTGTGACTAGCACCGGGGTTCGGAAATAGAACAGAACAGAACATTGCCTGGCTCCTAGAAGCTCCCTGTCCCCCAGGTGACCCTTCCTGCTTATACGCCCTTTTGTCTCCCTCTAGCAGTAACTACTAGCCTGACTTTTATTTACATCGCTTTATGGTTTTACCACTTAATTATGCAGTTTGGCCTGTATTTTAACTTGGCATAAATGGAATAATGAAGAATGTATTTGTGATATTGTGATTTATAAGAAGTATATATTTGGTCAACACATATTTTTTATTTATATTCGTTCGGTCTTTGTCTGCAGCTCCTGGCTCAGAGCTCCCTAAGTGTTGAGAGTGATAAAAAGGTAGCTTTGTTATGTTAATGAGGTGGCTTTTGGAAAGCACCTAAGGATGGGGGCTGTTTGCCAGAAGAACCTTTGTAACTAGAGGGTTGGAACTTTCAGTCCTATATTCTGGGTTCCTGGGAAGCAAGACAAGGCTTGAGGTTGAATCAGTTGCGATCAGCCAGTGATTTAATCATTCAAAGCTATATAATGAAGCCTCCATTAAAAACCCAAAGGGTAGCCTTTTGACCCCTTTTTAGAGAGCGTCCACATGGGGGAACTGGAATGTTTCCACATGCCACCTTGTTGAGCCCCAAGCCCTACAAGGACAGAAGCTCCTTTGTTTGGGACCTTGCCCTATGCATCTCTTCATCTAACTGTTGATTTGTATCTTTTACTGTCCTGTTATAATAC